TGCTGTAAGTCAGTACCATATGCATTACTGGTATATGTAAGTCATGTCGTGCTGTAAGTCAGTACCATATGCATTACTGGTACATGTAAGTCGTGTCCTGCTGTAAGTCAGTACCATATGCATTACTGGTATATGTAAGTCATGTCCTGCTGTAAGTCAGTACTATATGCATTACTGGTATATGTAAGTCATGTCGTGCTGTAAGTCAGTACCATATGCATTACTGGTATATGTAAGTCATGTCGTGCTGTAAGTCAGGTCCATATGCATTACTGGTATATGTAAATCATATAACACAGCCAATACGCTCTATCTGCTTGTATATTCATCATCGTTCAGGATTTCCTAACTAACAAGGGACGGCAGTACAAACATACCTTAGCATCCTCGTAGTTCCCTTCTGCCACCTTCCTGATGTGTTGACAGCCATGGTTCTTGGCTACGCACACAGGGTCCCCAGTTGTGTAGCAACACTTGTTCCAGGCAGGACACTCGACACAGTTACCAAACACGTCACGTGAACAGCAGCGGTTCCAGTCAGGGCACCCGATGCATTCTGGGAAGAAAAAGGGTTATCATAATCAAAATCAAGGTTTACTATGAAATTCTTTAGCAAGAGAGAGGAAAAGGAAGAGAGAATCGAGAGAAAAAAGAGTAAAGAAGAGAACAGAGGGGGCTATAGGTAAGAACAACAAAATATAGTTTCCTTCGTCTATTGGCGCCAAAAATCATAAAGACTTACTTTTCTTGCAGTGTCCCAGTTGACAGCTGCTGTTATACTTCTCCTCCGCTTTCCACACTTCTTTTTCTCTTTTTCTAAACAAGGCTTTCTGCTTCTCTAGTTTATCTCGATACGTGGTCTCATCCACTGTTGCCTTGCGGTAATACGTCTTGGCTTCTTTAAGGTTGTCCTGCGCTTGCGCAATAAACGTATCTGCTTCGTGTGCTGCGTCTTTTAATATTCGTTGGGTTTCCAAGGTAACGTCTTTTTTGATACTTTCTAGACACCCATATGCCTAAACGTGTGAAGAAATATGATTCAATATAATAATAGAAAAACAAGTGTAATCATTTTAAGGGCTGTTATAAGGGGTCTCATAATCTCTCGTCGCCGAGATCTTTAATTTATTTAAGATTATTCTAAAATATCTCTTGTCTCTATTGTCTGATATCCCTTATCACTAAACCCCTAATAGGGCATCATTTGTCATTTGATGATTAGCGGGTTGAATATATTGCTAAATGGTTGGAGTGGAATCAAGCGTCGCTCTAATAACCTGGCCACCGTTCTTGTGCTGTGATTGGTTACTGTACCAACTATTGCGCGTCCCAAGTCCTATTGTAACCGTCAGTACTAACTATTGCCTATTTTCCCTCCAGACCAATTGCTCCAGACTCAGTCGAAAATTTGTTGATGTTGTTGTTGTTGTTGTTGTTGTTTAGGGAAAGGGGGGCTGCACACGGAGGGTGGTAGTACAGCTAGAAACAGAGAAACAGTGTCTATAAATGTACCAGTGAATAGAGTGAATATATGAAGAACAGCTTATCAATTTTCAACTACTTACCAAGAATTCCGCTGTTTCAGATGAGCTGAGTACGTCATTGGACGATATCAAAATTCCAACCCCACTGACGTCAAACAGCTTGCCATATATGGGAAAGCCTGTTCCGTCATCAGTGACGTCAATATTAACTGCTTTCGATATCCCAAAAGCCTTTGCGTAACCAATCAACTTGACCTTTGTTTGTCGTGGAGTGACCTCGATGTGCAGCTTTGGGCCTCCTGTGGATTTTTCTAGGTCTTTCTGGAGTATGACATTCCCTTCAGAGATCACATATGGACTTTTGGTGTTGTCTGTATCGATCAACAAGGTCTTTGAATCTTTCATTTTCATGATAGCGTCAAAGTCCTTGTCAAAAATATGCATCTGGCCCGTAATAAAGAAGTTGGTGGTGTTGTCAATGGTTGGATCATAGATGGCCATAAACCCTTCAGGGAAATCAGCGTTACTCAAAACCCTTGGAATACTAACATTAGTCATTTCTAAAGCACTAATCAGCTCTTCGATCCTCTGATGTTCAAATTTGGCTTCAAAGCGGCTCACTTCCGGTACTGTCGGCTGATATGTGACGACAGCATCCGCTGACATCAAAGTTTTGCTTTCAATGCTACCGAGGTTCATGCGGCCAGTGATGCGCAAGTCCTTCAGCGGGAGTAGCTTGAGAATAGGTGTGCTTATTGCCAGGTTATCGAGTCTAATGAGTCCACCTTTGAATGTTCGATGAAGAGTGTCATCACTCTCCATGTCCAAAATCACGTTGTCTTCAGCAAAGTTCAACGACCCTGTAAAGGACAGCTTCTCTTTTGGGAGAGTCATTCTACTGTGTACAACAAACGAGGAGTCTTGTCCGATGGTAAAATCCAACGTGTTGTCCGTAAGCATCAAGCTTTCTCCTAATGCGTAGTTTCGTTTGATCGATCCAGTTAAGGAAAATCCGTCATGTTTGATAAGACCTTGGATACGATACCATTCATCACTCTCAAGCAGGCTTTGCACGCTCTCGCATAGTTTAAGTCCTTCGCAGTCTTCTGGAATTCGGAACAAACCTACTAGTGACATTCCACGTGATAAAGAAAGTCCTGAAAGTGTCGGGTTCTCGAAGAAAGACCGGTCTTCTTGAGGAGAGAGAACCAACGATGCATTGTAACTGTTTTTCAACATCTTTAAATTTGTCGTATCGAACCCAGTGAGAGCATCGATCAAAGAATTCAAAGGAATCTTTGGGAAAACGAATCCAACAGCGGTTTTTAGTTTCCCACTTTCTTCGTACACGACAACTTCTGCCTCTGTTAGCTTTTTCACGCCGGGAAAATGGCCTTTTCCAGATACATGAATAAAGCGTTTCTTCTGATTAATAGAAAAAGCTGACTTTATAGTCGGATTCGTAAATAAAAAGTCATTCATTTTGCTGCTCTCGACAATTGCTCTGCTCTCTTCGTCAGGAACGAACGATAGACCATACTGCTTTGCAAGCTGTAACACCGACATCTTCTTAGACGACCCTTTGAACACGATTATTTTAGCTTCTTCTTCTTCTGTCGATAAGGAAACTTTAGCTACATTTCCACCAAGGTTAGAGAGACCTTCACCCTCGATGGTCCAGGTATCGATTTGATCTCCTACATTATGCTTAAAGACTACATCCATGTTTGACACATTCATTAACTGAGGAATGGCAGTGAATTCCTCAGCGATGTGCGAATAAACTAAAAATGTCTCTTGTTCTATGTTATAGCTGAACTTATTGATAGAGACTTTGGCAAGGTCAGGGAAGCCATATGGTAGGACCGACACTGGTGTTTTTGGAGAAAGAGCAGCGAGGGTTTGTGAAACGCTTACTTTCTCGTGTTTACCCGTCAGGAACTTGACAAGTGGAGGGTCTATTTCGACTGCAACTCGAACCGGGTTTTGATTCTCGTTTCCCAGATGAATGGGGAGAAGTAAGGTTAAACCTTTAGAGATCCTAGAGTCTAATTCTGTTGATAAGATACCACCACCAAAGGACTTCAATGGTAACTTGTCGACTTCTCCTGTCGAAGCAACGAACCCGAAGTCTGTCTCAGAAGTGCGGAAGAGTCTCGTCTGTGCTATAAGGTGGTTCACGAAGGGGATTTTGAACAAATCATCACTGATTAACTTCAATAGCACTCTTGAAGGAAGATCTTTCTTGAACTCCAAGAGAACTGAAAAAACCCCTTTCTTGTCAGGCAACCTTCTTACGAATACCTTACATGTCTCTGCCTTGGTTCCATCGATTTCTGGTTTTCCAGAAATCATGAAAACGTAGTCATTGTCCCCTTTGAACACAGAGTACATCTCTACATTTGTCACGGTAAGGTTTTTGAGGACGGCTAAGTTCATTCCCGCCGATTCAATGCTTTGTTTTTCAGATATTGATGATGCTATGTCGTAGACGTTCAATCGATCCGCTGCTGCCACTAATGTGTGGTGCTTACCAACCTTCGACTCTTCGATCTTTACTCTGGCCAACATGTTGCCATGGCGCCATTTACCTGATACAAAAAGAGAACGTTATTATTCATCTTCAATTTTGCGTTATCACACAAACCTGTATATCAAATACCGCATAAATGCAAACACGGATTTTGACCAAAGAAGTGTAGTTCTGCAGTGGAATTTAGGGTCAACATGGGTTTCGTTGGGTCGTTGGCTGTCTGTCTGTCTGTCTGTTTATTTGTTTGTTTGTTTAGATTAATATTGCTTTTATTTTCGTTATTTGTTTGTTTTGCTCTCCTCTTCTCTTCTAGCTTGCCCCCTTCCTTCCCTCCCTCTTTCTCTTTCTCTCTTTCTATATTCTTTCTTCCTTTTCCTCGTTTTCTTGTTTACCCAACCCATCGACATCGAATTATTTACCCAGTCATATATATAATCTCCTGATCACCTTGAGCGTTGAACTCCCAGTGTCCTTTACTAGTACCCTTCTTATTGTACACAAACGTCATGGTGACGTCTCGGACCTTCATTCCTTCGCCCAGTAAACTGACAGGATCTTCCAGGTCTATCGTAGCCGTTACGTTGCCATTTTTGACGACATAATCAAACTTTTCAGCCTTCAGTTTGTCCAGTGTTGGGAAGCCATCGGGCAGTACTGGTAGTTCACCGTTTGGGACTATCTCTTGAAGAAGTTGCTTGACAGACGGGGAATCGTCTGGGGAATGAAAATGCATGATATACTGATTTACAATGCTAGGTACGTTGTAACCACAGGGAAAAGGTGGGGGGGGGGGGGGGGAGCAATTTGAATAAATATTATTTTTAAAATACCTATAGATTTTATCGATACCCTAAAGCACGATCTAAGTCAGGGCACGTCTAACTCACAGAACGAACTGTGAAACAACTTCTGGGCTGATCTAAGTCAGGGCACGTCTAACTCACAGAACGAACCCGGCCTGAAACAACTTCTGGGCTGATATAAATCTAGGCACGGCTTAACTCTCGTTTCGTGATAGGGTTTGCGACAATGGGGAAGGAAAAATAGGAAGAACAGGAGGAAAACTCTTGAATCAAGCGGAGGAAAACAATTCATGTTGGCAAACAATACAATGAGCGTCTACAGTTGGCCCCTCGTCTAGTTGGGCTCAAGGTAGCTTTCGTTTATTTTGTCATGACAAGCTCTTAAAATGTCTCCGCAAATTAAAATCCCCATTAAAATTGTTTGGCTGATAGTATGCCCGACTGAACCACGCTAACATGTGAGTAGAGTTTGTTTGATGTGTTGTTCTCTCCGGCCTTGCCACGATGGATATATCCATGCAGGTACTCAGGTTTCCTCCCTTCGTAAAAATCTAAATGTGAGTCATGAGAGTTGTGTGTTGTAAATATAGAATGTACTGATAGAGTTTGTGTTGGGCTAACCTCACGAAAGAACTCGATCATTATGGGTTAACGATGTTTGTAAACTAATACATATAACAAAATAACTACTTTTTTTATGGAAAACAATGATGGCAAAGTTGCTAGGCGTACTGTCCTGCCCTGCCATGGATAACACGTGGTAACACTGATCTTTGATCCATGAACCAAACAATTGACAACCTGTCTAAATCCACCATGAATACTACTAGTACTCAGGACTGTGTTGGTTCCTATTGACACAGGTCACCCAATGAGACTGGTAGCTAATTGAACCACACGTAAATGCATCGCTTGTGGCCTTTGTCCGTGAAGATCAAAACAAAATTTGATATTTGAAATTTGAAATTTGAAAAAAAAAATTTTTTTAGAAATTCAAAATTTGGCAAGTGGGGGACCGCGAGAGTTTTGAAAGAGAAATTAAGATTTACCTCTGTAAATTTTCTTGTATGATTCGGAGTGTCTTCCCTTTGTAGCCAATACCAGAGTAGCGGCTATCAAGACCATACGATACAGAATTCGACTGTCCATTGCTGTACTCTTCAACTTACCTAAAAATATTTGAAAAATATAGAAAATTCCAGATAAGATTTCTTCCAAAGAATACTAAAAAGGTCTCATTTTTTTTCCAGAAAAAAAGAAAAAAAATATACTAAAAATCCTCTTACATTTATTTTTAAAAAATCAAATGAATATATTTTGCGACATTAGTAAAAAAAGCTGGAAAACAATAGAATCTAGCAGTTAACGTCCTTACAAAAGAATCTAGCAGTTAACGTTAGTTAGCTACAATGGCAGTAAACTAAGTGCAAAGATTGTAAGGAGAAAATTTTCGGTGTTTCTCGTAAGTAAAATAATTTTTGAAGAAAATGTGTCTGCCATAAAAAACCTGCTTATTCTGCCAGCACACACACATGCGATAGAACAATCTTACTGGAAGTTCTAAATGTCATTTTATGGTTAAACTTATTCTAAGTTTTATTTTCCTCGTTATATATCCTTTGATTTTCAGGGGGATTGAAGTCTTAGTCTGGGTATTCATTCATTCTCGTTACAGACTTCAAACATTCTATTGTCAAGTATCATATGTCGTATAGCAAGTGGTTTGAGCTCTACTCAGTTTACTTACCCGCTTTAAAAGGCCTTTGTAATGATCCTCTTCTAAGAAAAAAGAAATTATATTTTCATCGAACAAACATGCCACCAAGTCCACAAAGCAGAAGATAATGCAAGTCTGGCTATGGCTTTAGAAAGTTGTTCAAGTCTAAAGGGGATTTGATTCCACTGGCCAGTTCCCTTTGTGAACCGCGCGGACTCTCATCTTTTATTTACATGTTTGAGTACGGGTCCCTTCACGGTGTACGGCTTTCAATCTTTGGTTAATATTAATAACTGACAAACGCGTGAGATTTTTCGTATTGTTAGCAAGGTATGTTTTGATAAATCCAGTCTAGCGAAGGCTAAACCTGAACGACACTGTCGAGTTTCATATCGTGGGAGGAGGACTGGGTCGAAAGGTTGGACAATCGTGAAAACAATGCCATGATATCTTCATTTCCCAGGGATTTTTGTTCATTCGGTCAAAAACGGGCTTCATTTGTCGAGCTCAATGGTATTATACAACTACATATACCCAAAATGTTCATTTTATTCAGCCTGGTCAACAGTTGTCCGGTCACTTGATATGAAACCGGCCTGAAGGTTATACTCGATGGGTGAGCGCGCGTTTTTGATAACAATAAGACGAGAAAGTATCCATGGACTGAATATTTTTTGGCCTCCTACAAAACAAGTTGTCTGGGGGAAAATGGGTTTATTTTGTCCATAGAGGAGCGGATGCAGAGTGAAAAAGCTAAAAAGTGTAGTTCCTAAATACTCCATCACCTTGGATTTTTTTGTTGCTGAGGGTCATAGCCCCGATGTTGTGCAGAATATTAAAGAGTTCCAGTCAAGGTCTGTCGAGTTTCAAAGTGTTTGTATTGTTGAAGTTGTGCATTCTTTACTTTACTGTTGGTTTTTGTGAATATTTAAACGCTGAAATGAGGCTAAGCCTGAGTAAATAAGTCTGTAATCAAGAAACACAGCGGTATTTGACTAGTTTGAAAACTGTCTATTTAGCGGGCAAATTTAGTTTACAGTTTAGTTTACAGCCGTTCGAGTCAGTGTGGAAGTTAGTGAAGAGAAACATGCCTGCGCACTGCTGTGTTTCCTCTGATCGATACCTTCTATAGCGTAATTTTACTGTGAAAGCAGCCTTAGCCATGAACCTTTTTTCTTCCATGTCTGGAGTCTATAAAGGCTTTGCACCACCACGTGATGGCAGCCATGATTCAATTTTTCCTGCCTCCTGTTATGGCTACCATCACGTGATGATGCAAAGCCTGTATAGGACGACTCAGCTTCTTCATGCGGAATTTTTAACCCGATTTGCAAATTAATATAATGTTGTTTTTTTTTAGTTTATGGGTGTGGCGGGTTTAATCTGTTTCGACTTCTCTGTAATCTGTGTAGCTTCAATTCAGCTTTGAATACTATTATTAAAACAGAGCGCTGATAAAGAGAGAGGGGGTTTCTTTAAGTGTTCATCGTCAGCTCCCTGGAAGACAGCTACTAGCTGAAGAAACTCTGATGTCAGTAAGTAAGGCCTTTTACATTTATCTCATATATCCAGTGAATTTTCTCTGAATTAATTCTTCCATCATTCTACTCTTTGAAAGCACTCATTTCAACCCTTTGTTGGAAGATTTCAACCAGTCTAGTTCACTTCCTCGTAATTTCTACCGATACAAACCCTTATGATTAACGAGTGCCGAGTTTCCAGGAACTAATGCCGTATGAGATAAACGAGTAGTCGATAAAAGCAGTAATGAATCTGGAAGACAATGAGAAAAGGAACTCCTAAAGTTAAAAAAGCGACAAATGTAGTTTTAAATTTTCGACGATTTTTGAACTAAATCGAATTCTAATCGATTCAAAGTACTCTACTTTTGTATAGAAACTTCAAGTAATTATCCTTAGCTGTTAGATTTCAATTTGACGTTTTTCGTGTCCGATTTTTTTCGGCACAGAATACGAATGACTTTGTTATCGTCGTACTTCTCTTCGTCGTAAAATCGTACATGATCATACAAAGCTGGACACGGATGAAATTTCCAGCAGTTTTTAATATTATACAATTTCACAACTTAAACGATTTTCATGAAATAACTGTTATTAATCTCCCGTTCTGATTGGTTGAAAGCGCGTGCTTTATGACAGCACACAGCACACGCGTGCACTTTCAGTTTTGCATTCCTATCTAAAATAACGGTTATTGTAATTTGTATTTTATAAAAGAAATAAAAAATTTGCTTGCTGTGCTGTGTAAAGTTATAAAGCACTTGGGGATTGGCATAACACTCGAGAAGTATTGAGAAAAACTCTGCTGCATGCCATGCTTCTCTTGTGTTCTGCCAATCCCCGAATGCTTTATAACTGCACACAGCACGCGCGAGCGTTTTCTATTTCTTCAGTAATTGATTAAAAATTGCGAAAAAAATCTTGCAAAAAACTTTAAATAGGTATCAGTTTCAGGTCACCCATCCTGGTACTAATTTCGCTCAACCGGACTTGACTCAGTGTCATTGAAGCCCATGTTTTTTCCACTGGACCACGGTTGACCGGTAAATCAGCATAACAATAGCCATGAAAACAATGCACCAGATAGACTAGACTTTTAACATCATTTTTTCAACCGATTCTGTGCGTGGCAGAGATGCAAGGGATTAGCCGATATGGTCTGGGGGCCGGCTGGTCTCTCCCCTGATGCTTCGGCTAGAACATTTTCTTGCGTAATTC